TACATGTAGTGCAGCAACCAGGTACATGGCAGGCAGGGGTGCCTGCGGTAGGGGGGTGGTGGTAAGGCCAGGAGGCTGGTAGGCCTCAAAGGCCCTGGCAAGTCTTCACTCTGGGCTTCTCTGGCCTTCTTTCTCTCCTTTTCTCTCCAACCTCTCTTCTACTCCTTTACTGCTTCTCTATACCCCAACCATGGCCCACAGAAGTAAACAACTCAACTTACAACAATGTAACAACTGCAGATGCCCCATCATGCAGGGCAATCCTGATGGTGGGAGGGCAGAAAAGCCTGAAAACCATTTACCCTACGGTGGCTCAGAAATTTAAATATTCCCAACCCATTCTCCATGCTCGCTAGCTCAGTGGTACAGTAGTACTACTGTCCTTAGTCACATTTCTTGGGAAACAGGAGTCCATGGACAGTTCATGTGCAGAAAGTTTATTGGCAAGTGCTGTAGGAATTACCATCTTTGGGGAAAGAAGGAAGGAGGGTTGGGCAGAGGGAAGAATTGAACATCTATGCAGTCCCAACAAAGACCACAGCTTATTCCATAGGTCTTGGGGACAAGATGCTCTGTGGTGGGCAGAATTCTAAAATGTCAAAAATTCCTACCCTCTGGTGTCCATGCCTTGTCCTGAGTGTGGGCAGAGCTGCTGAATAGGATGGGATATCATGCTTATGGGCAAGTCAATAAACAGTTGACTTGGAGCTCATCAAAAAGGACATCTTGGATGGGTCTGACCTAATCCCGTGAGTTTCTAAATGGATCTGGGGACCTTCTAGAAAGTCAGATTCAAAGCTTGAGAGGGACTGTGGGACAGTACACCTGAGGCAGTGGAAATCTCTAGAAATCTGAGAATGGTCCCTGGTCCACAGTCAGTCAGGAAATGGGAGCTCACTCCTATAATCACAAGGAGATGTATTCTGCCAACACCTGATGGAACTTGGAAAACCCCAAGCCTCAGATGAGACCCCAGTCTTGGCTGGCATTTTGGTTTCAGCCCAAAAAGACTTGAGCAGGGGATTCAGTTTTGCCATACCTGAACTGACCTACAGACCAGGAGACAATAACTGGGTATGGTTTTTGCTTTGTTTTATTTTATTTATTTTATTGATTGCAGGTATAGGACCACACCCTTCAGGTTGTAGTGTTACCACACTACACACCACATTGCTTTATTCTTTAATTTTGAGATATTATAGATTCACACACACAGTTGTAAGAAACAGTATCAAGAGTTCCTGTGCAGCCTTTACCCAGTGTCCACCAGAGGTAACATCTTGCAAAACTAGTACAAAATCACAACAGGATATTGACACTCAGAAAGTCAAGATACATAACATTTTCTATCACCACAGAGATCCCTCCTGTTAGCTATTTATAGCCACATGCTCTTGCCTCTGCATCCCCTGCCCCCACACATCTTTAACTCCTGGCAACCACTAATGTTCTCCATTTTTATGATTTTGCCATTTCAAGAATGTTTTTAAAATGCAGTAATCCAGCAGGTAATAGGTGTGGCTGGCTTTTTTCACTCAGCAGAATTCTCTGGAGATTCACCGACAGCGTGTGCAGCAGCAGTTTGCTTCTCACTAGTGCTGAGAAGAGTTCCATGATGTCAGAGCTCTGCAGAGCTGAGCCCCTGCCTGCTGGAGGACATCTGAGTCTGGGGCTACTACCAGAAATGCTGTTTAGAACACTTATGTAGAGATTTTTTGGTGAAGATGTTTTCATTTCTCTCCAATAAATACCTGGGATTGCAGTTCTGTGTCACGTGGCAGCTGCACTTGAAGTTATTGAAGAAACTGCTGAATTTTTCCAAAGTGGCAGTGCCAGTTTACATCCCCACCAGCAGTGTAGGAGCGTTAGAGTTTCTCTGTATTTAGAACTGTCACTATGTTTTCGCTTTGACCTTTCTGATAGGCGTAGACTGATCAGTCACTGTGGTTTTGATGGACTTTTCCCAATGGCTAATGTTGGTTAATGGTTCTTGTGTTTATTTGCTATTAGTATATCATCTTCAGTAAAATTTTTCTTCATGCCGTTTTCCCATTTGCTTTTCTTAGTTCCTTCTTCTTTTTTAACTGTTGAAATTTGAGTGTGTGTTACATGTTCTAGAAATAGCTGTTGGTCAGATTTATGGCAGTAATAAGGTATGTAACATTTTGAGACTGGCTTTTGAAATACTTTTCTGTCTGAAGCTTGTCTTTTCATTCTTGTAACAGTATTTTGCAAAGCAAAAGTTTTAAATTTTAATGACACTATCTTAATTTTTTCCTTTGTAGATCGTACTTTCTGTTGGCAAATCTAACACCTCTCTGCCTAACTTCAAATCACAAAGATATTCCCGTTTCCATTTTTTAAGTTTTATAGTTTCACATTTTACATTTAAGCCCATGATCAATTTTGAGTTAATTTTTTATAAGAGGTGGTATTTAAGTTGAGGTTTATTGCAAAGGTTAACTACCTCCCTTCAACTGCTTCTTTGTAAAAAAATCAGTTGGGGGCCTCCTCGGTGGCGCAGCGGTTGAGCGCTGGGTTGCAAAGCTGCCCTGGCCTCTGCAGCACCAGTTCGATCCCCGCCTGCTCCCAGGCCGCAGGAGGAGGGTCCCACATGGTGCGCAGACCTCTCTGCTGCCCGCTGCTCCCCTCAGCAGTGTACTTCGGTCCTTCTGCCTGCTCTGCTCCCCACTCTGGCTCTGGTGAATTCTCTCACCCTCCCGTGCTTCTGACTGTACCCAGTGCTTGTATAAATAAATAAATCAATCTTAAAAAAAAAAAAAGTGAACAAAACCACTTAAAAAAAAATCAGTTGGAAATATTTGTGTTGGTCTATTTTTATTTTATTTTCTTTATTTTGTATTCTGTTCCACTGATCTATTTGTCTATCTCTCCGTAAACAACACAATTCTTTAAGTCTTGAAATCAGGTAGTCTTACTCCCTTTGCTTGCTCTTGCACAAAATCACTTTAGGTATTCTGGGTCTTTTGCATTTCTGTGTAGATTTTTAAATAATTTTGTGTTTACCTTCCCAAAAAATGTTGCAGGCAATAAAATTAAATCTGTATATAAATTAGGGAGAAGTGATGGCTTACTGGGTTCAGTCTTGCAATCCACAAACATCTTGTCTCTACTTATTTAGATCTTTGATTTCTTTCATCAGTATTTAGTGGGTTTTTTGCACAGAAATCCTATGTGTTTTGTTAGATTTACACTTAAGTGTTTCTTTTATTCTTTTTGAGTAATTGTAGGTGGTGTTATATTTTTAATTTTGATGTTTACCTGTTCACTAATAGTATATAGAAATGCAATTGATTTTTGGTATGTTTTATATTTTACAACCTTGCTGAACTCACTTATTTTGTTCTATGAGCTGGGCTGCTTTTCTTAGTTTTGTAGATTTGTTATGATTTTCTATTTAGACAATCATGTCATCTATAAACAGGAACAGTTTTATTTCTTCTTTTCTTATATGTATACATTTTATTTCTTTTTTGTACCTTATGCTGTTCATCATACCTTCTAATAGATGTTGGCTAAGATTGGTGAGAGTAAGCATTCTTGTTTTGTTCTTGATCTTAAGGGGAAAAGCGTTCAGTCTTTCACCAGTAAATATAATATTAGCCGTAGAATTTTTGGTGTATACTCTTGAACGAATTGAGAAGTTGCACTTTATTTTTTTTTTTTTCTGCCAGAGTCTTTACCATGAATGTATGTTGAATGTTGTTAATTTGGGGGGCATCAATTGATAAGACCATGTGATTTTTTCCTTTAGCATTGAATATGGTGGGATACATGGATTGATTTTCAAACATAGACCCAGCCTTGCAATCTAGGAATAAGTTTTCCTTGGGAGGATGGAGAGGACCTTTGGAGAGAGCTTTGCTGGATTTTATGCCATCTGATAAAGAGTGGTGAGTTCATCCAGCAGTCAGGGAGAGAAAGAATTTCCAGGGTGAGGTGTAATGCATATAAAGGCACTGAGACATGAAACCAGCTTCTTAGGGGAAAAATGCAAGTATTTCAGGCTGGAGAATAGAGTCCAAGAGGGAGAGTGGCAGAATATGAGGCTCAGATATTGGCAAAACAGAGTTCCAAAAGTGCACATGCTATGTTCTAGACGCTGGTCCATCACTTGAAGGTGATGGCAATCACTGTGAGGCAGGATATGGGGACTGAGCCAATAAAATTTGCCTCTTAGAAGCCCAATGAGAAGGGCACTGCAGGACTGAGCCTAGAGAAGGTGAACCAACAGGGACACTTTAGGAGGAATCCAGGAAAGGAAGGCCAAGTCCTCTATTACCACAGTCTCTGAACTCATTTTCTTTTCTTCAAATACGCGTCCTCAGAGCCCCTTGATTCTCTTTATCCATTACTCTACCACTCGTTTAGGTCATGTCAAAGTCATATTTCTCTGTCTTCCACATCCAATCAGTCGGCTTGCCCCGCTCATAGAAACCCTGTGTCCTCATTCCCTTTGGTCTCTTTGCTCTATTCACTGCTACTAGCTGAGTTCGCCTGGGGCATTCCTATTCTGCTCACTGGCCCCTTATTCTGTGTTTTCTCCACCTCTGATCTATTCGCATCTTTTCCCTGCTTTCATTTTTGAAATTCCCTGCTCTAATCAAATCACATCTATTTCTCTATAAAATCTTCAGAAAGGATCTGCTTGGTTTGGGTTGAGTGGAACAGGCTTCTGATGGGGTGCAGAACTGAGGTCATAGAGGAACTATCCAGGAGGTCTTTGAGAGAAATCAAATGAGACCTGTTAGGGGATCCTCAAAGCAAGGGCATCCATCTGCAGGGCAGAACTTTAGGTCTGAAGAGATACCTTCTCGTTAGCAAGTCCACTCTCTACCTCAACTCTGCTCATTTCTTTCATAGCCGTGTTTTAAATCAGACTAGTTCAAGATAAGCCCAGGGGGGCACTCACTATGAAGTGAATGCAGTTCAGTCAGGTTATTGCTTTATTAATTTTTATAATCTAATCAGCATTTCTGGACTTTTCTTTTCCCTGTTTCTACTTACTTCAATATTAGAAAAGGCCTCTCCTCTCCTTGTTTTACTCTACTTGGCCTCAGGCTTATGGGAAATGGAATAGCTCTGGCCATTATATGGTTGTCAGGACCCCTGGACACTGACTCTACATATACCAGGGTTATCATGCCAGACTCTTGGGGACACTTCACTCTCTAGATTGTAACAGTCTAGGGGCAGGGATTGAGCTGCCTTTGTAATGAGGGTGGGGAGCATGAACGCCAGTCCTTGCTTCCCAGGGACAGAGAAGTATTTGTTTAGTAAATGAGTGCTAATGTTTGGTTAGATGTGAAGCCCTCAGGAAGTTATTCCAAGAATACAAGGTTATATTCCAGTCGTCCAGTTTCCTGATCCAGTCCATCACCATCCCCAGTCCCCAGAACAAACTCTGAAAACCAAAGACTGAGTTTTTAACTTCCTTCATTATTGTCCTTTCAGATCTGCTCCCTACGCCCTCTTTAAGTCCCCTTCTGTCAATTCACAGCCCAGGCATCCATTCTCAGTGTTTTCTCTGCTTGATTCCTTCTTCCCTTCTTTTAGCCCCAGGTTGTTAGTTCAACCTGTCAGATCTCTGTTTGTAATAGTTATAAGGGAATTCCTCTCCAGTCTCAACTCTGCTTGCCTCTGATTATTGTCTGCTTACTTGTTGACCATGATGACCTTCTGGCCTTGAATCTTCTGATCTTATGTGTCACAGACAATGGTGGTAATGTCAATGGTGAAAGGAGTGGCTTCAGTGTGGTTAAGACTCTTGGTCGATGAACAAAGGGTCTTCAGAGTAGAAATCACCTTTAGGAGGGAATGGAAAGACAACAGCAGATTGCAGATTGCTCTATGCCAAGTTCCCATGACAACCTATAAAAACTAAGCCTTTATTAATATCACATCCAGTCCTCCAAGCCTGACAGTGGAAGAACTGCCATGTAGATAAAGTGCCTGGATTTCATGGCCCCAGCTCTCATGAAACAGCTGCCTCATTTGCCTTCTTACCCAGCCCCTACATATAATTCTACTCTCTGTGTACAGTTCGCCCAGTGAGAACATGCTGGAAAACAGACACCCCTTCACTAGAGCACTTAGATTCCAGACAGCCTCCTCTGCCCTGCTGTGTTCTCTCTTAGTATCAGCATGTCCCAGCTCTAATGGCATAAATGGACATTTGAGCATCAGTGAGCACATGTGACTGTTACTGGTCTGCCCATCCCCATATTCTAGATCTTACTCAGTGACCCTGAGGATTGATGCTTAATGCATACTTATTGAATGAATGGATTTTGCTTCAAACTCAAGGATGGCAAAAGAGAAAACAGCCTAGAAAGCCAGTGTAGCTAAGGACTCTGGCTTATAAAATATAACTTACTCATCTGCACCGTGTGCGCCTTTCCAGGGCCTCCCTGTCTAATGCCTGGCGTACCTCCATACCTCTCCTTTCCCACCTGGTACGCTACTGCCTACCCTTCCTAAGACAGACCCACAGAGTGAGAGAGCTAGGAGGTTGTCGTCATGTACTCTAAGTTCACTCTCTAAGGTTCCAGACTCCTGCATGAAAGACTGTCTTCCCTGGGTGATAGATTCTGGAAATGTCTACTTCTTCAGGACTGTTCATTTATTCTAGGTCAGAAAGGAAAATAGTTTTCATCTCCTTTGTGATGTTTGTCAGTTTCTCCTAAAGCACTCTATGGAGAATTAGCAAGAAGAAAGGCATGATCAATGAGCAGGGTGGCAGAGAGGAAAGATAACATTTTAGAATATATTTGCCTATGTCTTCAATAGGACCACCTGCTTATACAATGAAAGACTTCTGATACCCACACTTAGGGGAATTATTTCATACCTTACCTTTTAAGGACTTAAGGTTTCCCTAAGTAGTCTTCATGTCTTCTACTCCACTGGAAATACTTGGAGACTGAGATATTTTAATATCTTGTATCACTTTCTGATGTGATTTTTCTGTGATATAACAAACTGAAGGAAGCAACTGCAGTGAGTGGTTTTCTTAGATTATTTTTTAGAAATTTATTATGTGAGTTTAATGGGATGCTGTGCATTTTGTCAAGCTCCGGCAATGGTGATGGATAACCCAGGGACAGTCCAGATGTTCCGTCTCTGCCCTTTGTACCTGGGTCTGAAGCACATCTTCCCACGGGCCCTGCTGGGCGGCTGGCTCAGCATCTACATCTCTATACTGGAGCTCTTGATGCCAAACCAAGAAGACTCTTGAGAGCACACATTAGGCCTGCAGGTCATAGCAGCTGAGGGTTTAGGTGGGTTGTGTTTGAACCAACATGGGGATGTTTAGCAGAGGAGATAGAGGATAACCTGATCCTCTTAGCCTCACCAACCCCTGACAGTGGGCTACGGATGCAGAGGGAGAAAAATAAATGCCATGGAGAACTGAAACAGGTGTGGGATGGCTGCCAGAGTTGGGGGAAGGAGTTATTGGAAGATGTGAGCTGGGGGAGGCAGCAGAGACTGAACAGTGAGTACTGGTGTTGAATATTGTATCTGGATGTTCACTTCACCAGTACATTTTTTTCCAGTACTTCCCCATAACTCTGAGATTGAACATGCATGTGATCAGTCTAAAACTGTGACTTTGTTTAAAGCAATTTTTGGAAACCTGCCAGAAACAGAAGCAGATAGACATAGCTTCCAAATTTCAAATATGGAAGAGGAGGGATTCTCTCTGACTCAGTAATGTGACCAATTCTTAGGAACAAAGCAAGCATCAACGCAGCTCCTTGCTCAGGCCGTTTCGACTCATCTTCCTACACTGTTATTGGTTCTTTCTCAGAATTAGGTTTGTTTAATCTTTCACTTTCTCACTGGGCAGCCTATCTGACTTGAGGTAAAAAACAACCTCCTATGTGATGAGCAAAGATTGACTATCTAGGAAGTGTTCATTTTCCTACTGTTTAAAAGATTATTTTACAAAAAAAAAAAAATATGTTACCAAAAGATCAACATATAAATCTCCATGGATGATTTAAGAAGTATTTTGATGATGAATGAAACTAGACTTTTGGGGGTGATCATGATGTAGTGTTTACAGATGTTGAATTACAATGTTGTACACTTGAAACTTACATAGTGTTATAAAACAATATTACCTCAATAAAAATTTATTTTTAAAAAGGCAGTGCATTGAATTTGAAAATTGCTGAGAGTAGATGTCAGAAGTACCCATCACAAGAAAAAAAATTGTAACTCTATGTGGTGATGGATGTTAACTAGACTGATTGTGGTGATCATTTACAACATATGCAAATATCAAATCATTATGTTGTACACCTGAAACTAGTGTAATATTATATGTAAATTATACCTCAATGAAAAAAATCAAAGCTAGAAGAGCGTGGCTCATGAATTATGAAGAGAAAATCCATTTTGCATCCTGAGCCATGCTACTAGTGTCTGAGACAGAAGGATATTGTTTATAGGTATCCTGTCCAATATATGAGATGACAATATGTAGGATGACAATAGCAGCATATACTATTTACAGTGACCACATGATTTATTATCCAAACTGGCACTCTTATGAGAGTGGAAGGGATTGCAAATAATCATTATTCCAGGACAATAAGTTACACTGAAATGTGGTAATCACAGTGGGAACAGCGTGGATTCTAGAGTCAAGCCCAGACTTCAGCAATAGTTCTACACATACTTACTCACCAAGTGAGCCCTACTTTCTTCATTTGACAGTAATACCTATCTTGCAACATTGCTATGAGGATTAAATGAGATAGTATTTGTGAATTCCCCAAACATAGCACAAGACTGGCTTTCCAACTGTACATAGTTTTAACTTTAGAGCAATATGGCAGGAAAGGTGAATTTGTTCATTTGTTCATTTATTCCTTCACCCTTCAGTGAATTGCATAAGCATTTATTGAATGGAACAGGCCCTCAGGGGAATCAGTGCTACTCTATAGGGGATGCTTTAGAAATGTTTGGAGGTGTATTTTGTTGTCGCAATGACTTAGAGGGGACTGCTGGCTTTTAACAGGAAGGTGCCAAAGATGCCAGACATCCAGCATATACAGAAGAGCCCTGAACAATGAGTGATCCTTCCTGTCCTCCTAGTGTCCCACTGGGCATTCATGTGAGTTTCAAAACGAAACAAAACTCTTCATAATGATCTGAAACTAGAGATCAATTTTATTTTACTCACAAATGCAATTTTTTTTTCTTTTTGTAGAGTTCTGATATGGAGAGGAATTTCAAGAAATGTATCAGCTGTGTAAATTACAAGAAGGTTGTACTTTGTTTAGAATTTTACCAAGGGTTGCTCACCGTTTCAAGAACTCTCAATACTGTTGCATAGTAATGGTCCAGTGGGGAAGGCTATGTTAGTCACTAATACAACACATCTGCCTGAAACTGTATGTAAGGTCTCCGCATTCATGTGATTCACTCCATAGGAGCAGTACCTGACTCCCGTCCACTAATGTGGGCATGCTGACCTATGGACTTTATGAAATCATATTCATTTATTAAGATTATTTTTCTTTTATTTCTCTTAAAAGGGCATTGTATTTGTGGCAGAACTGCTAGCTGCTCACCAAATCCAAGTTCTCCTCTTCTAAGCTACCAACTAGACTAGATTTTCCACCCACCCTTGAAGTTAGCTGTGGTCATGTGACTGAATTCTAGCCAATGGCACCTGAGCAAAAGCAACTCATACCATGAAAACCTCCTACATGTCCCCTCCCCAACAATTACTTCTGTGCCCAGTCCTAAGATAGGAACAAGCAAAAAATAAGATATCTTTTATATTTCAGACATTAAATAAAGGATTTATTTATTTTAGTAATCAGTGTACCCTAACTAAGACAATGTGATCTTCTTTTAAAAATACATATAGCTGAATTTAATTTTAATATAGTAAAGAGGACAGGAATATTAAAAGGAGGGTTAGGTGTGATAGAGTGAGGAGCTACTGTCCTGGATTGTGGAAGATTCTCTAAGAGCTATCATTCATCCAGTTTGTAATAGAGAATGCATAACTACACAGAATCACACGCCTATGCAGAGTTAATCATTAATTCAAGGCAGTGTGTAATGAAAAAACTAATGAGTTGTATAGATAGGGTGGCCTTCAAATGTTTTTCACTTTGCAACCCTATTAATTAAAACATCTTGAGCAAGCACGGTCAATCTATGTATATTCTATGTAGTTCAAGATACTGTCAATTATACCTTACATCATTATTTATGTCTCATGAAGAAAGAAAAATATCATTGCCATTTCAATTGTGACAAGGTTTTCTTTAGGAATCAACTACAAAATGCATATGAATATGAGAGATGTTAAAAATGGGAGACCATGTGTATCTTAGAATTGATGAAAATGCGTCCCCTACTTCTAAAGGAACAAATAATGTTCCATGGAAAAACATACACAAAATGGGAGGTTTTTTTTTTTTTTTAAAGGTAACAGTGGCTTCAAGCTGTAAATGATTCAGAGACATAACTTCACACCTCTTCAGCAATGTTACCAGACCCAATACCAAGGCAACCATGGTCTTCCACCATAGCTCATTGTGTCCCCTCCACAAACTCTGCTCTCTCCCTCCCATAGCCTCAACTCTGCAGAGGCTGAGATTTTATAAGCAAAATTCCAATCGTTTGCATCCCCAAAGATTATTGCAGATACCCACTTTGGAGACTACTGGCATAAAAATAGATCCTCTGTAAGGGCTACTATTGCTCTTAGCTATGCCTGCAGGGTTCTGGATAAATGGAATAGCATTCCAGAGAACAGAAATGGACAGGGATGTCCG